GACATAGATATTAAAAAAAAAAAAAAACAAATACAGAAGATGATAGAACTTCATACACCTTTTAGTACATAGACATTGTATATTTGTACAGAACACAGTTAATTTTTGCAAATCCATTAAAAAATCACAATCACAAATCCAAACTTACGGTTTCACCAAATGGTAGGGGCTGAGTTTGCTGACAGAGACAAAGTGGCAGACGGTTGCAGCCTGACGACGAGCTGGCCGGACTGTTGGTGGTGGATGAATTCACCCACCGGCACTCTGGTAGCGACAAGTGAGACTCTAGAGATTAGAGAAGGTGAAAAATTGGGAATTTGAGGATTGATTTCGATTTCGAATGAAGGGATAATGGGATTTGGGTTGGGCCTATGTATTATATAATTGAGGATTCGGCCCAGAACAAATGACCCAATCCAATTACCAAAAAAAAAAAAGATGATGGACTGGGCCAAATTGACCCAATTTCAAAAAAGAAAAAAAAAAGGGAGATGGGATGAAGAAGACAAACCGGCTTCGGCGAAGTGAACTCCCAAACTGCTTCGGCGGTTCATCGGAGCCTAGCATGCTCGATCGCGCTCCCTGGCCTGCTGCTGGGTCCTTTGTTGACCATCACGATCGCCACCACCACCACCCCACCACCATCACATGTACAAAAAAAATCACAACTACCATCTCCTCGATATCTGTTTCCACCACATCACAACCACCACCTCACCAAAAAAATCCTCAAATCGTCGCCGCCACCACAACCTTCACAAATCCACGACAGACTGGTCATAGACCTCCACAAATCTACCACAACTACAAGTCCACGACCTCCATAAATCCATCATAACACGGTTACAAATCCACCACATTGCCATGACCTCTACAAATCAACCACACTACAACCACCAGGGTTGTACAACTATGCTTGCATCATCGTCGTCTGCAGACACAGAAATCCCCAAAAGCGCGGTGCTGAGCCTTTGTGAAGATGACTCTAGGAAAAAGCGAAAGGACGAGCATCGGAACCACCCTATGATAACGAATCAGTGTCCTCACGTCATGCTGCTCGGTTATAGTCCATTGAGGGTGGTTCTTTCATTGGGGAGAGGGGTCTGAAAGAAAGAGAGAGAAATGGGGAAGAGGGGAAAAGGGGGTGGAGAGAGAGACAACATAGTAGAAGCGGTGGTGGCACGAGCAACTGTGGCTTATGACGACAACTTCGTCGTGTAGAGTCGCTAAAGAGATGGTAGGAAATGAATAGGGTAAATAAGATTTGTAAAAGTGAATTAGAGTTTGTTGGGTTGGGAGTGGTTGTGTTAGATTAATTATATTTAATAATATTATTAGTATTAAAATACTTAAATATGATTTGAATTAATATTTGCTTTTTGTATAGATAAATTTTAAATCTGATTTTTAAATTGGATCTTGAAAGATATAGTTGGGTGTGATTTCCACTTGATAGAATTCTGGAGTGGGCTGGACTTAGTCCCAGGCCCAGACTTCTTTTGGACAACTATTAGAATTGGTTTTTATATGGGGAAATTATAAAAAACCAGGGGCTTAAAGATATCTTTTAAAAAATCAGGTCCAGAATTTATTTATTCAAAAATTAGGTAATATATTAATATTCTAACCCTAATTTATCACTCTCAACTCCCCCACCTCTCTCTCGCGCCTCCTCTCCCCTCTCCTTCCCTCTCTCTGTAAATCTTACCTCCCATTTCTCCGTCGTCGATCTGACGAGTAGCGCCTCGATGCTGCTGCAATGAAGAGGAGATGATACAAAAGCAGATCCATCGTGCCACCGCGAAGCAAATCCACCGCATCGCAGCACCTTTTCCTTCATCGTCTTCCGCTTCCATCTCTCTCACCTCTCGTCTTCTCCTCCACTCTCTCTATCTTCCCTCTATCCTCTCTTTCTATGAATGGTGCAACACTGCTGTCATGAATGGCAGCGTCGCGATGCTCGACGTTGTGCCGACTGATGCAGCGGCAGCGTTGTGATGCTTGACGACTGATGTAGGGTGGATCTGGAGGTGGGAGTGGTGTGGTGTTTTGTGTTGTGGTGGTGGCAGCCGTGGATGTGATTACGGTGTGGTGGTGGCGGCGACGACGGCGACGGCGACTGTGGATGTGATTTCGTAGTGAAAATGGTGATTTTGTTGGTGAGAAGGAGGAAGTGGTGGTGTGTTGTTATTGTTGGTGGTGGTTAGTGGCGGTGGCGGTGGCGGTGGTTGGTGGTAGAAGTGATAGTGCAAGTAGTCTGTAACCAAGTATTTTGTAATCTGTGACCAACTACTTAATTGTGACCTAAAAATTTAATAATACGTGACTAAAAAATAATTTGTGATTAACTAATTTAAAAATTTGTGGCCTCAAAATAACCTGTGAAGTACAAAATTTTTGATCTATGATCTCAAAATAATCTGTGATCAATTAATTTTAAAATGTATGATATGTGACCTATAATTATGTATATGTGACCATTAATTATATAATTGTGATTTTCTTATATTTAATTAATAAAATATAATAAATAAA